GCCTATACCAAAGGCACTGTCCAGTGCTCATGTTTCATCTGAAAAAGAATTCTAGTCTCTCTTCTATGATGTATAAAATAATTAGATCTTTAAAATGTGATATATGCAGTTAAGCTGGAAAAAGGAAGAAAAAAAATTTCACTGCTGTTGCATTGGTTCCAAATCAAAGCAACACTCCCACTAGGTTTCTGAGGTCATTTAATCATAATGGGAGAGGATTGTCCATCTTTTTCTCACTGAGCTGCAGGTGGATTTGAACTACTCGAAACATGGGGGCCTTAGGTGAGCAGTGCAACTCACCTACACCACCAACACTCCCTCGCAATTATGCTAAATGGGCCTTAAGATACAAAGCAGAATTAACCATCTAGCTAATTAATATTAGGTTTACACCACCAATTACCAGCAATTTGTGAGACCCAGTGGGTATTTCTTATCTTTAATCTACATAATTGGAATTTAAGTCTTCTCATTCAGGTATTCATAAATCAACCAAGATTTGTCAAGCACCTACCATAGGCCCAGCACTAGGAAGGGTTGCTGTGACAATGAACTCTTAATAGTTTTAAAGAGTAAACATTAGATTCAGGCACTAGTGTAAGAATGGTGCTGTCTGTTCTTGTTGTTAGGTGACGTGTAGGGTCCAGAGCAACAAAGACAGCCCTTGAACAACAGACCTGAACCCTGCCCTCCTGCGCCATCCTTATCATCTCTGATGTACTTGAGCCTATTGTTACCGGCATTGTGTCAATCCACCACACTGAGGGTCTTCCCCTCCTTTGTTGACCCTCCCCCTTTCCAAACATGGTGCTCTTTCCTGTTGGCAATCTCCAATTTACATGAAGGTAAAAAACCCAACCCCTTATAAACACTGTCTCCTCAGTAATGCTAGAAGGCTATCAGTACATTTTCTAGATAGCCAAAAAAGTGATTTCTCTTTTTGGTTTGTTTTAGTAACATAGTCATTAAAAAGTCAATCTCAGTGTTTCATTTTCCCCAACAACTTAGCTACTTCCAAGGAAAACAAGCATTTGAAGTCTGGCATGCAGATAAGAGAAGTTCTTACCGTGTTACTGGCTCCCAGACCAGATGGTTTCAGTAAAAAAACAAAACAAAACAACAAAAACAGAAACTCTACCTGGTTTCCACTTCACATGCGCAAGTCTTGATTTTTACATCTCACAGTTACCATGTGGGAAGTGGACAACTCTCTCAGTGCACAGACAGCAGCCAAAGTCAAGAAGAACCACAGAACCCCCATCAGACGGCACTAAACGCAGCATTAGAACAAACACAGGTGACCCTAATATTCCTCAAATCCTTTCCTTCCAGAACACCTGAGAGCCCCAGAGCCAAAACTACTTAAAAGACATCTAAGGGCGGGGGGAGCACCAAAACTGTAGTCAGGGCAAGAAAAGGGAAACAGTATCTTTATTGTGTATAGAACTAACAAACATTCACTGTGTACACATTCCAGCGAAAGAGACAAAGATCTTTGTTCAAAATATGCTGAAATAAAATAGGTAAACAAACTCCATTACTGGATACACAGAAGGAATGTTAATATTACTAGTCCGCGGTCAAGGGTGAAATAAAAAGAAAGCTCAAAAATCGTTTTTAATTCTGTGCTCAAACACCTACATCTAGGATAGACGTGTAGTGGGAAAGAGTAGCTTCTAAAGCCTTATAACTAAATGCTGGATAGAGTAGGTGACTTGACAAATGTCTTCTTACTTCTCTGGAACCTCCCTCCTAGATCAAACCCACAAATTCCTAGTCTAGCTCTTTCAGAACACAGCAGCCAAATGTGACTAAACTCCCCAGGACTTTTGCGATATCTGGCAACAGACCGAGAGAGTTAACAACAACAACAAAAAATCTCCTGTGGAGACAAGACCCGTCGGAAAGCATTTCTCCTGGGGTAGGAGATAATGAACACAAACGTCCTGCATTTCCATCTCCTAAAATGGAACTTAACCAGATAGGCATCACTTGAGATTTTTAAGTGCAAGATGCCGTAATTAATGATATACCTGGCCCGTGAAGCATTTTTTCATTGCTCCACATCGGAATCAAATGAACACAAGCTCTCACAATGGCTCTGTTTCCCAACACATACGTTTATGACAACTGCTAAAAGAACTTGAGGGCTCAAATTATAGGTTCCAATGGAGTGTTTCTGGTTCAGCAGTCACATGAGAACTCCAACACAATACAAACTTTGTCCTCACTAGTTTCTTTACAAATAGAGAAGTCATTTGAAAACCAAAACCAGTTCCTATGACACAGGGGCTAGAGAATCCCAGATAATTGGCACGAACATTCTCTATTCTTGTGGCACAGACTGCCCCTCAAGCCTCCTAACCAGCCAGTCCATGCACAGTATAGTGCAGAGCAGCTAGTGAGTCTTCCTCAGGGATAAACAAGCACGCTCTCCAGCAGGCAGCTCCAGCAGGGACCGTCAGCCAGCAGGGACTGGCCCGCTGGCTGTCTTCTCTGGAAGGGTTTTCAAGACTGACCCAAGTCAAACCTGTCTCAAATCCACCTCTTAAACAGAAAGTCCATTTGTGATGGATTTGGCTGACATTTCCTATTAACCTGTTTAGAAAAACCTCTGCAATCTCTCATATAAGCACTACCTTTCACCTGGCTATTAATGTAAGTAGACAGCAGAATAATAGTACACGCAATCAAGCTGGTTTTGAGACTACAAAGTGATACTGCATTAGCAGGAGTTCCAAAGACACTCTGGATATTGGATGTGTTGCAGGGATTGTAGAAATAAAGCCTGTAAATGTCTCCTTCTGGCTCTGGAGTAAAAAACAAGTCCAGATAGAAACAGTTTAAAAAGACAACCAGTACTAAAGAAAAGTGTGCCTTTTTTGCACTGGTGTTTACCCTACCAAACATCAAAGACAATCATTTCACTTGAGACTATAGTTCTAAATTATTTCTTAAAAAGCAGATGTTTTTCATTCTGTTTTGGAGACTGACAGCACACTGTCACAACTGATTCAAATTGTCTTCTGGCTCAGTATTCGCTTGAATACTGCCTTTCCCAGCTCCTCAGTGCTTCTCAGATTTTTCACCGCTACCCCAATGTGGCCCCCACATAATCATGCAATTTAATTTTTATAGTGATTAAACATTTTCACTCCAGGCAAACTTCCCTAGTCTTCAAATGGAGAAAACATCAACATCCCAACATTTTTGTGTACAATAAACACTTTTTAAAATTCAATAAATTTATCCAAAAGTGGTAACTTATAATATACAAAGGCTTTGTTTTTTGTTTTTTCTTAAAGATGAAAGTTTGTACCTGTATCCCTATATATAAAAGTCAAGGAGAAATCCTTTAAAATGACTCCAAAACATCATAAACAAGCACACAAGTCCAAGGTTAATATTATTTTGATGAATTCTGAATTCATTCAACTGCTAAATCACAGGATACAAGACCTTGGTTGAACTTTTTCTTAAACAGCTTGGATAGGCAGACGCTGGTTTGCCAGGCAGTTTCCTGTCTCGTCAAGTCCCTGGCAAGGCGAGGGGTAGGGAGTAGGAGGTACTGAGCAGGGGCCCCTGGTCCTCCTTGAACCAAGCTGCTCTGCTCCCGGCTGAATGTGACAATGGCTCAGAGACAGACTAGTCGTCCTTAAATGATGGGGGACGAAGAGAAGCACCAGGGTTGACAGAAAAAAGCTTATGTACTGTCTCCTTGGTGTTTCCACAGGAAAAACAGTGAGTCCAGGGTGCCAGAGAAACTCACAGAACTCCAAATAATAGCGTCCTCCACAATGAAATGCACATCCACGAAAAATCAAAACAATTTTTATTCTCATCGGTACAACAGGACAAGTCAAAAGCTGGAGCCTCAGAGGTAAAACAGAGGTAAGTGGGAAACAGTGTCTCATGAGTTTTCACATGCCATTTCACTACATTTAACATCCCACAGAGGGGCAGAGACCAAAGACTGCTCCTTCCATCACCATGGAGTTCTGATTCTCTGAAAATGCGTAATCTGAAAAGAACTCCTAAGAAAAGAAATGAGAAAGCAACAACAATCCCTAGTAACGTTCTATAGACAGAATTTTGAATTTGTATTTAACCGATAAAAGACAGCTGTGGAGAAGAAGACTGCTAGAAACTCAAGTCAAATTGAAGCAAAGGCTGCAGTCTTTGCTGCTCTCATGAAACTCCTACAGTAGTGTTTTCTAGGATTTGTCAAAACAGAGATTACGATGAATTCAGCAGGTCTTATCAACCCAATTTACCCTCCCTCTCCCCTTTTCCTTGCCGCCCCCCACAGCCAAGAAAGAAAAGGAAGCAGAGTTTTGTCCAGCACCACTTGGGAAAAATGGGGGCTGGACACGGGGGTGGGACAAGCCACCTGCCACACCAGCCTGGGAGGGAGTGCAAGAGAGATAACCAGATAGTCTGGTCTGGTCTTAACAAACAGAAACAAGGAGCAAGATCATCTGGCAGTTATGTTTTAAGCAGCAGGTGCACATTTCATAAATTAAATCTCTTAGATGAATAAGATAAATAAGAGAATGAAATCTGAGTTTTAAAAACAGTAATATTTACTTAAAACAGAAAAAAGAAGACTTTCTAAATCAAAGTCAGCTGCCCTAGTAGGAATATCTAACAATTACTGGAGCATTTGGTAACCATTTCTACCTACTGGCAACGTGACTACAATATGTGAATTACCACTATTTAATAAAAAGGTTTTCAATGTAAAGGTACTGTGGAAAGCAGTGGAGGACGGGAACACTGGCAAAGAGGCAGAAAGCAGGTCGGTGCTTTAGGAATAAGGCTCCAAGAGATGCAGGACCCTGGTCTCAGGTCTGAGGTGGACATCTGGTCAGCCACCCTGGCTCCAAAGGGTAAGAACACACTTGGCAGGATTGGAGAAGAGGGCAATTCAGCTGCCCCAAAGCAAGTCTCTGGTTTTCACTCCCACGTGGATGTGCTTTCCAGACTTCAGCAAGGTCTCCTCAGGACGATCTGCTTTCCGACGTGTAGTAACGATAGAGGAAGCTTAGGAGAACAGCGCTGATGATGGGTAAAATCCAGTATGACCAGCAACTACAGGTAGGGGGAAAAAAGCAAGAAAATTGTAAACACTGTATGCCAAAAATGAATTGTCTTTCAGAATTCGCATTTCGGTATTCTGAGGGGCGAAGAGCCTGGATTTACTTGGAGAAACTTAAGTGTTTTGTCACAGTGGAGTTGGAAGAAACCAGATCCCGGGGTTGGACTGACATTACTAAACAACAAAATTCAAAACAACTAAAAGTAGAAGGTATAATATAACACTATCAAAGTAGTCTCTTTCTTTTCTCTCTCTCGTGCCTGTCTGGCACTTTGAACTCACCCGTACCTCTGTGACAGAAAGATGGGTCATTTCTTCTAGTGCAAATTACAGCATCAGAACTTGTCAGAGGGTAGTTACGTGTCAGTTCTGAGTGGATAGCAGTTAAGTGAGCAAATAAAGTGCGTGTGCTCACTCATGTACACACACAACTCTATACATGTGCTCTTATATAAACATACAGTGGTTTTTAACTCTGGGAATTGGGATTATGGGTAGTTTAATATTGTCTTTGTACTTTTGTTTTTCACGTTATACTATTAACATTTATAAACCAGTAAAAGCAAGAAATACAATTGTAAAATAAAAGGATATTTAAGCACTACAGCAATCTAAGCAATTTGAAAATAGTAATATCTAATTAACTATTTCCCAATGTTCTATCTACCTCAGAGGGGTCTTTTAAAGTTTCATTTATAATGACCCTATAAAATAAATAATACTTTCTCACTTTCTACATTATAAACTCTGCACTTCAAGTCACAAAGCTAGTAAGCTACACAGTGTGATCCAAAAACCATCCTTTTAACATCTCCTCTGTACAGTAATAAGGGGACACAGATCATGGTCACTGTCGTAGATTCTGACTCATAGTGACCCAATAGCATGGAACAGAACTGTCGCACTGGGTTTCCAAGCTTGTAAACATTCATGGGAGCACACTGTCCCAGAGTGGTGGGTGGGTCTAAACCTTTCAGTTAGCAAATCAACACTTAACCCACCATGATAGTTCTAGCAAAGTTAAGCAAATGACACATAGTATATTATAAAGTGCCCTAACGACTTTTCTTAGGAGCATAAAGATGATAATCATTCTCCTTAAAATAATTATGCCTCTTTAATAAAGCTTATTAACACTGCTGGTTTTAATATGTAATTCTTCCAGAAACCAAATAACTGGCTATCCCTCTATTTAAGACTTACCAGTCTTGGTATTAAAAAAAGTTTTGAAGCCAATAAAACTGGCTGAATTTCAATAATCCCCGCCGCCCCCCTGCCCAACATGCCTAACATTTTGTATACTAAAGCATGGCAGCAGGCTGCCCTGGACAAGTTCAGAATGTCTGCCAGGGAGTTTAGTTTGGGTTTGGGTTTTTTTGATTTGTTTGTTTATTAAAGGCAAATTGGTGTGGATAACATGGACAAAAAACTTTGAAGTTATCTCTCCATAAGACTAATGATTTTAAGCCTCCTGGAGAAGAACTACAAAGAAATTAAAGCATTTAAAAGTAAGATCCTTGGGAAAACACTGAAAAAGAGAAATTCTTCAGTACAGAACAATGCTTATGCCAGGGAACCAAAAATAGCTAATTATCACTTTTCTATTTTTTAATTTTTTTTTTCACTTTAATTGTGATTGACTAGCACCTTTCATACAACCTCAGAGTATGCATCTTCCACCAAGGACAGAAGGAGGAAATGCATTTATAATGCACCAAAGGAGATATGGAGTCTTAACAAACCCTCCTGACATGAAACAGAATTTCTGGCAACAAGTTATCCAGGTTATTTAGTGCAAGTAGTTGTAATTTATTTAAAAAATTTTGTTTTTGTGTTCTGGTGGCAGTTTACACAACAAATGAGGTTCTTATTTGACAGTGTCTATAAAACTTGTTTTGTGACATTAGTTACAAATTCCACAATGTGGCACCACACTTTTTAAGTCTTTTCTGGTTGTGCAGATTCACACAGTGGAGCTGGGTTTTGTTGTTGTTGAGAATACACACAGCAAAGACTCACATTTCTTTTTATTGCTCTGCAGTACATTGCCGTATGACCATGCCAGAATTTCACTCCTTTTATTAATTAGTGGATATCCGGATTGTTTCAAGTTTTGAATATACAGAATAAATGAAAAAAGCCAAAAACCTACACGGCTTTTGAATATTCCGTGAGGTTTTTTTGGTACAAGTTTCTTACACACGTGCACACATTCCTGCTGAGTGACATTCCTGGGGAGGAACTGCTGAGTCAAAAGTTATTCCCATGGTCAAATGTATTAGAGAATGTTAAACTGCTTCCCGAAGCAATCACACCCATTTATATTCCCTGTGAGCAGAACTTCAGAGTCCTTGATGATCTATTTTTCTCAACCAACTTACATTATCAAACATTTTTAATTTTTGCTAGCCTGGTAGAAATGGCATATACCCTGTATTTTACCTTATATTCACATACCTATATTTGCTTTTTATGTACTCATTTCAGTCTTTTTCTCATATCTTACTATATCTGTGTGTGTGGCAAACACAGATAACAATCTCCCTCCTCAATCAATTGTCAGGGATTATCTATTATTCTGCATACTAATTACTACATCAGTTTTAAGTGTAGAATAAAGATATTATAAGTTTGTACCTTGAATGTTTAAATTCGTCATGGAATATTTGCTGAGCAGAAATCTTAACTATTAAGCAAGTTGAATTTAGTAGTTCCCCTTAAGTTTATACTTCTTAAGGCTCTATCATTACTCTTTTTTTAAAAAAAATTTAAAAAAAAAATTATAAAAGTGATAATTTTATGGAAAAAAGTTATTTTCTCTGTCTCTGAAATGTCTGAAGTAGTAGGATCTTAGAAAATCCAGAACAGATGGACTACATTATCTCCATAAAGCCCTTTACAAACCTTGGATTTCACCTCAAGTTGACACTTCAAAGAAGAGAAAATTAAAAATCAATTTCTGTTGCATCAACTGACTTAACATACAGTGATCGCACATTATGCACAGTAGAACTGCACCCCAAGAGGTGCTCTAGGCTGTGTCGCTTCAGACGTGGTCTTCTCAGGCTTTCTTCTGCGGTACCACTGTGTGCACCGGAGTTGCCACCTTTCAGTCAGTACTCATACCTGAGCACATAATCATTTCTTTCACACCGAAGACATACTTACTTACAGGATGGCAATTTATACCATTCAGAGCTAATACTACTAGAAGAGTTTATTTTAGATAAACTTTGGACAAAACCCAAATGCTTACACGTGATTCTAAGACATAATTGTTCTCTTTTGTAAAACATAATAGCACCTATCTCACAGAGTGGTTATGAGGATTAAATGAGATTAAGTTTGAAATAGAAGTCACAGAGTTGGGCTGAGCTGCAGAGAATGGGTGCTTGAATACTGTCACTTAACAACATGTATCTGTTTATGCTTAGTGGCCTCTCACTCGTGTGAACCCAGGTTATAAAACAACACAATTTAGAAAGTAATCAAGCACAAACCTGGAGAGTATTCAAAATAGTTGAAATTATAAAAATTAATTTGTCAATAATGTCAAGGAACTACTGAATCAATAATTCAGCAGCAAAAAAAACCCAAACCAAAACAAAACAAAAAAACCACAAAACTGGCTGTCAACCCACATATTTATGAAAGAATTTCTTGCCAGACATCATGCAAAGCATCACAAAGTCCAGTGAGGTTACTCACCTTTTGCAGGCATTAATTTTCGGAGTGTCCTGAGGAAGGCACATATGTATAGAAACAAAAAAACAAATGAAAGATTAACACAGCTTATATTAATCTTCTTGAATACACATAAATTCTAGCTAGTAACAAAATTTCCATCTTTCATGCATTTCAATGTCTATGAATCCATAAGCAATGGTTGGGCTGGGAATTTTAATTTTCATAAACACATTGGTGAAGAATTATTCTAGAAAACATAAAATCATGGCTTAAACTTTTTTTACACATAAAAAAGAATGCTAAGAATGCAGACAATACCGAACTGGACTAATCTGAAGTCATAAAGCTATGCATGGTTCATAGCTCTTACCACTGGCAGTAGCTGAAATAGTATTTTCATAAAATACATGTTTTAAAAATAGAAGCCACTCCTATGGTAGCATATAAATTAATCGTGACATGTTGATAAATGATGTAGATGATGGCTGCTTTATGGCCTGCAGGAATGAGCTGATTTACAATTTGAGATCATAATAATTATGATTAAAGCTCTAAGGGCTTATTTCACAATGCAAAGAGGGAGAATAAAATTAAGGAAAAGAATATAATTAAGACAAAGTTGAAAACAAAATGTTAGCAGTATTTGTACTAATACATGCTAAACTAAGGATGAATCTTGAAATCATTATCCTCAGTGAAAGAAGCCAGGAATCAAAGCCCATGTATTATATAATTTCATTTCTTATACAGGAACTACCCTGAAGAGGCAAATGTAGACAGGCAGAAAGTGGCTGTCTGTTAAGGCTTTAGGGGAGAGAAGATACTGTGAAAAGGAGTACAAATGAGATAGGGTTTCTCTTTGTTTTGTCAAATTGATTGTGGTTACATCACTCTGTAAATACATTAAATATCACTGATTTGTATACTTTCTGTATGGCATGTGAATTATATCTTAAGAAAGCCAATATTCCTTTTTCTTTTTCCTTAAAAACTTAAATATCAAATAAAGTTACTGAGTCCACTAATGAGCTGATAGGGCACAAAAGGATTGTTAATATATTGCCAGAAGACAGTAAAGATTAACATATGTTACTGCTGCCCAAAATAATATATTTGCCAATATGCAGATTTATGACAGAACATAGTCATAGAACATTAACCAATTACAAATTTCACTATGTTTATGAATTTCTACAAACTATACTGTTGTTGATGATTGCCTTTGACTTGAGCATGACTCATAGCAACCCTAAGAACAAAAGGCTTGAAGCCCCTCAATAACTATTGACATTTATCAAAGTTCATAGGGTTTCCGGAAGCACGTTATTTAGGAAGTAGATGCCACTCCTGCTTCCAAACCATATATAAACCCCAAAAGTCAGACCTGATGACAATGAGCCAATTCTATCTAACTCATTTTGCTGTTAGATGCTGTCAAGTTGAATACTCAACTCACAGTGACCCGACGAACAACAGATCTGAACCCTGTCCTGTCCTGTGCCACCGTCATCATCTCTGACACACCTGAGGCCATTGCTGCAGTCACTGCATCAATATATCTCACTAAAGGTCTTTCTCTCTTTCGCTGACCCGCCATGTTTCCAAGCATAAGCCAAGGAACAGCCTCTCCTAGGAACATGCCTAAATTATTTGAGACTAACTTCACCATCACTGCCTCTAAGGAACACACTGGCTGCCCTCTCTATAAGACAGTAGAACTGTCTCACAGGGTTTAGAAGCTGCAAGTTTTACAGAAGTAGACTGTCACATCTTTCTCCCACAGGGTAGACAGTGGTTTAAACTGTTAACTTTTCAGTTTAGCAGCAGCTAATCATTTGACTAACATGCTACTAGGGCTCCTCAGAGATCATACCTACTAGCCCAGATACACTGTACAACAGTTTATGAAATGAGTTTGGATTTTATATATCCAAAACATTACCATGAAAATGAATACATGCCCCAAACATGAAAGAAATGAGCCTACAAGCAAGTAAAAATTGTCATATCAGGTTTTAAATAAACCTTACTAATAAACCACTCTAGTTCTTTGACAGTCTTATTAGGCTATCTGGGACATTTCTGCTAGAGTAGTATGAATTAGGCTAATTAAAATGTGATGCAGGTCAATCTGAGAAATGCCATGATTTGTAAATGTACGTCTTACAGATTTGGCAGGGTGCATCAAATTACTTTCTAATGTTGCCTTTTTAAGTTTCCTTATAAACACACACAAAAAATTCTGTCAAGAAAATATCAGCATGCTTTTATGCTTCATTCACAAATCAATGATTTCTAAATAAAGAAACGAATAGTTACTATCAGTGCAACTGGGCTAATTTGAAAGCTTTATATCACAGCATGAAGGAGCAAGATATCAATTATGAAGCTTAATCCACAGTTTATCAAATACCATGTAGTTCATAAAAAATGGATTCTCTAGATTTCAAAGCCCTGTGTGTGTGTGTGTGCTGACGAGAGTAAATCTTAAACAATGTAGTAAGCCACTGAGGAGGAGGAGGAAGAAAGAGTGGGCGTATGGGAGTGCATGTGTGTGAGCAGAGAGAAAATAGCCAATAAAAAATATGTTGAATTTAAGAAACTTTTAATAAATAATTAGCGTTTTCAGGACCAAGAATTCCTCCAGAGTGTCCCTGTTTTAAGATCACCCTATCCCTAGAGGCAGAAAGACCAAATTCTCTAACATACTAGGGGAAAGAGAAGAGAGAGAATATATTCTCCCTCCAGGACACTGACAGCCAAGTAACTGCCAAACTACAGTGACCCCACTTTTAATCAACTATAATGAGAGAGTTGTTTAAGGCACTGCTCTTAGCAGCCAAGTCCCTCAGCCAAGCTTGGAACGAAGCCAGGGAAGTTATTTTTAATTTTACAAAATTTAAAAAAAAAAAAAGGTTCTATTAACACATCACCTTCTCTCACCCTCACCCTTCCATTCCCTCTACACATAGCCCCCTGTGCTCATTTCCACTCTACAGCTCTGCCCCTTAATCTAGTGGATGCTAAAGTGAAATTCCTACAATTGGCGACTGATTTTAATGTATCCTGTTGGGTGTTGGGGCATATCTGACTGGTTATGTTCTTGCCCAGATTTCAATTTACAAGCAAAACATTTGGTGAGCAGAACAGTAACTGCTCTCAATCTCAACATGGAAAGTAGTAATAGCAAGGTCTGATATTTGTACAAGGGAGTAGATCAAGTCCAAAGTTCTGTTAGTGTAAGCCCTAGCAAGCAATTAATATGCAAAGAATTTGGAATATACTTGTAAACAACAGAATTGCTGTAAGGCTACTCTGATTTTAGTTTAAAATTAGAAAAACACTAATGAAAATTATGGCTTAGTTACAGGACTTTAATTCTCCCATAAAATAAATTATACACACATTAAATCGCCTTTGTTGAATAAAAGATAATGTCTCACAAAACCTGAGTAACCTTTCACAAGTGAAAGTGCTCACAAGTGAAATGATGTCTAACGTCTTCAAGCTCATTGCTAAATCAGCTTCCTCAGTTGTCACAAGGCCTGGACTAGATGAACTTCAATGCTAAAGCCATGTTTAATTAATTCAATAAAAGTTTATATCCCAAAGGCATTTCATTTTAGTAAAATTTCTAAGAATCATCTTCTAAAAGTTTGAGAGGAGGAAATATCATTCTCCCTATCTATCATGTTTAGGAACAATGAAGGAATGTTACCACGTATATATTTTTTTACCTTATATCAGGTGTATTCTCCCAGGTACTTTTTTGAAAGGTAACAGGCGGTAAGCAAGTAATTTGAGAAGCTGGACTATATGAAGAAGAATGTGGCATTGGGACCAGTAAAAGCCAACAACCTACGTTATGAAGACAACATAATTTACTTGCAGAAAGTAAAGAAAGCTTGAAGCACTTAGTAAACATAAAAATCTACAGCCTTCAATAGGGATTACACATCAATATCAGAAAACACAAATCCTCACCACTGGCTAATAAGCAACATCATGATGGAGAAAAGATTGAAGTTGTCAAAGATTTTCATTTTCAATAGGCCCACAAACAGCAGTAGTCAAGAAATCAAAAGATGTGTTGCCATGAGAAAATCTGCTATCAAAGGGCTAAAAGCAATGATGTCAGCTGAAAAACTAAAGGGTATCTCTATGATTAGTAAATTAGTAATTTGCTAAGAGTATGTGAATTTGGGACTTCAAATAGGACTGGAAAGGACTTTTCCTCATTATAGAGTGAGTCTTAGAGCATAAACCATCACTACATGTCTAAGTTCTATTTTACCATCGAGAAAATGGAATACTGAAGGTATAATATTTCAACACTTGATTGTCCCAACAATGAGATTAATTGATATCTCTTTTTTTAAATCAGGGTTGAATTTTTATGTACTATATCTTGCTACCTGGAAGCGGGAGCGGCATCCACTTCCGAAATGGCTTGCCTCTGGAAACTCTATGTACGAACAGTGCTCAGGCTGTTCGTTCATAGGGTCACTATGAGTTGTCTACGACTTGACAGCATTAAACAACAACAACAACAACAATATCTTGCTAATCAGTGATAGACTCAATGATAAAATATAATTAAAAAATAAATGCATAATTAAATGAGGGAATTCATGGTCTAAACATATTTGCATTTACTTTTAACAAAGTAGGCAAGCAGGCAGCTTGGCAGAGAAAACACTGTCTTTTCAAAGGTGAGTTTTCATAACCAAAAACAGACCAGAAAAACACTGTCAAATTTGAGTAGGTTATTGATGGCTTGGCACAAGAATTAATACAACTGGACACTTCAACGATTTAGATCCTCCCAGAAGAGCTGTGGGTGAGCAATAGCATTACCAGTAAGTATATTCGTTTTCTCCTGGACACAAGAGCCTACTCTTTGGTCCTAAAAGCCTTCTGAGATCCCAACTCTTCTCACTATTTCTTAGTTGTTGGAATTGACAGAAAACTCATAAGCAGTTCCTTACTTCACCTCTGCCTTGCATGTGGACTTCCGAGTTGTAAAACAACCCAGTGGTAGATGGAATTTGCTCCAGGACTTAAGAACAATAAATGACATAGTTGAGCCCCTACATCTTGTGGTTCCTAACCTTTATACTATAATAGACAAAGTGCTAGTCAATTGGCCTTTTATTGTAAGAACTACCTTTCCTCTGTGTCATGATTTGTGCCACTATTAGAGCCTCTACTTGGAATATTATTGCTTTTTAATTTTTGACTCATGTACTTTTAACTTGCTAGTTAAATTTGTGTCTTCTAGGCTGCAACACTTCCATGATACATCTTCAAGGATATGAACATGTACAGCTAAGCACAACTGATAACAGTGCATCTAAATTCCAAAATCAATCTCCATAATAGTCTATGTGTTTCCTATTGCCAAAGGGGCCCTTTAGAGGAGTGAGAGATCTTCC